TGAGGGTGCGGGTCTTATCAAGGATTAAATTAAAGGTTCCCGAAGTGTCGTAGTGAGACTGATCAAAGAATCTGGCGACTCAGATTAGCATAGCCATAATTCAATCTGCTTATGACCCCAAACGTACTAGTAATCCTACGTGCTAAGTCCCCTGAACTCTAAGTACCCATCCCAGCTCTACAATTCGCAATCTGACGCCACAAGTGGCGGCTCCGGGGTCATTGTAGGCCCTTTAGAGTCTAAACTCTAACCCTAAACCCTACANNGGGTCTAGGGCCCCCCCCCCCCCCCTCGACTCTGCAATGCCAGTGAAGTCAAAGCCGCCGTTGTGCATCTTCCAGCCGTACTGACCTGAGTCTGCCAGGGGCTGAGATTTTGGAGGACACTCTCTATTCCCGTCTGTGGATGTAGGAAGGCAGGGTTTTGGTTGCATTGCAGAGGTTCTAGCCCAATGTCAGGCCTTGCCCAAAACGACACCGTTGGGATCCGAGGGGCTGACCGTTTAGTCAGGGAAGTGCTCAGGGCTTACATCCGCCATGCAAGCCCAAATGCCACACTAAGCTAAGCACCGCTGCTCTTGAAACTCTTCAAGGATTCAGTGCCCTACACATGCCCTCAAACCCTAAACCCTAAACATCCCTAAACATCCCTAAGAATCCCTAAGCCCTAAACCGAGGATCTGGCCGAAGCAAGATGAGGAGGCGTGGTGGCCCCAGCCGCGACTTGTTGCTCCCACGAGCTCATCTCCCTCCTCTGCCCAGAAAAGATGGGAGTCTGGCACTAGACAAGACTCGGATTGTGGTTGGGCGGGTTCTGATTCTTACAATGGCGAAGACTATCAATGAAGACTATATGTAGGCGCGGGCATGGACCCAAAAGGGATGCAAGTGCTGCACACGACCTTTCAACCTTGAGCTATATCCGATTGAGATCTTTCGGGGTGACAAGCGAAATTGAGGCTCCGCCTGTGAGCATCCTGAATCGAAGAGGGATGAGTGGCTGCCGCTTCTCACGGGGAATTCGTCGGAGTGTAACGTTGGCCGCTGAGACCTGCAAACATGTGAACATCTAGCGGAACAAGCGAAAGCACCGTTCCTTTTCTGGTTTAGCCAATTTTATAGTAAGGATCCTTTACGGCAACCCCAAAAAAGAAGTGACAGTGAAGACCCTCAACCCGAAACCTTAAACCCTAAATTCGACTTCCAAACCTGTCGCTCCTCGCCCACCCAGCCGACCCGGACTGCACTCCCGGGAGGTAGGCGGCGCACGCGGACGGAGAAGGCATGGACACCTGGTTCAATGATTCCCGCCTAGCGGTCCTGTCAAAAGAACTGTCAACCCTAGACCCGACTCTGCTCATGCCGTCTTCCAGCACCTCTTCTTTCGGTAAGCTTAATCTGATTGATGCCTGGGAAGCGAGTTTCTTGATGAAGTTCTTGCCCCGGCACTGGGGTGCGGGCTATAAGCGTTTAGGGGCTTGGTGCCCTGAACCACAAACCCTCCACCCGCAACTCCACAGCCTAAACCGACAACGGAACTTCTACATTCTAAATCCGGAAGCCCGAACGACATGCAGTTGGAGTGCGCGCATATAGGAGGACAGAAGTGAAAGAAGCCTCTGTTAAATCGAGCCACCTTCATGCTGCCGACAAAACCCTTGTGCAACAGGCCTCGTTGTCCAGCAGTGGTCCAGCAGCCCCGTCTAGCCAAGCACACACTCCCCTAACCTACAGGTGGCTCCAAAACACCCTGCACCCGTTGCTGCCTTCGGTACGGAGCCCACCTGACAAGCAGGTCCAGCCACGGTCGGCACCACGCCAAGTGCTCGGAGCCTACCATGATTGGATTGGAGTTTGGGCTTAGGGTTTAGGCTGCGTGGGCTTATCTGGTTCTTTCTTGCGTTTGGGGCTCATGTGCTGATGACACATAGCGTTCAGTTTATATAGGCTGTTTTGGTCTAGGGCCTTTGGGGTTTAGGAGGATGTAGCGCAGGGCTTCGCTTCTGAGATCTCTGGCTGCCGCAATGCTGATATTTTCGCCCCCCGTCTCAGAGTCTAAACCCTGCAGCATTATGGCAGTCATTGCTTCTGGTGCAGTCATCTTCGGAATCGGAGCTGTTTTGCTGACCTAGTAGGACTGCACTAGCCTGGGGTCGCGAAGGCGGCGGGAGGGAGATCTGGCTTTCTTGGGCCCCAAACTTGGGTCCACAAGCTGACGACCCTGCAGGCATAGGGCCTTGCAAGTGGGATGGCACAATCGAAAACGGAAATAGACGGAACATCGCTGGGAATGATAAAAAGGGCCTGACTAATTCGAATCAGCTTTTGAGCTATGTTACATATTAAACTATGACGGGAAGCCCTACGGAAACTAGCAAGAATGCTATAACTCTACTGTAAGCATAATATATAACTGCTTATGTACTATAATTACAGTATAACTATGCAGTTACTGGCTTCGAATGCGGTGGTTTGTTAAAACGTCTTGACCAGATCTGAGGTAAGTAGCTAGAACGGCAAGTGTTGCAACAATCATATTCCTTGCCGTTTATTTCTCTGATCTTGTCTGGTTGGGGAATATCCTTCTCAAAATCTGAATCGGTTAACTTCTGTAAGAAATACTTATGTGTTTGTCATTTTTCGTGCTGGGCTTGTTTATACTTCTTTATTTCATAATTACAAGCAGGACAAGTAACAACCTCATCCTTGATTTTATTGAAGCGGTTCTGTCTGCATTCCTTAACTTTTTCAGGGTTGTTTGCGTGGTATTCCTTCTTCTGATCGTTCAGTCTTTCTTTGTGTCTTTGTTGTCGTCTTTGTACTTTTGCCCTACATACGTTGCATGTCTTGTAATTGTCTTCAAATCTCTCAACCTTTTGCACTATCTGGCACTTACTGCAATATCTCCTTCGTTCCATTATTGAATATATACAGGTGTCAATTCTTTAAGTATATATCCCGGCCATTGTCCAGGCATTCTGAACAAGTCATAGTGCACTTAACATAATAACAAGAATGCTTACTAATGCAATAGCAACGCTTGAAACAATCAATGTCTTTGATTTGCTTACAACGATAACACTTCCTAGTAACAACATCATTAACTGTTTCAGTATATGGCTCAAAAACAACTAGTAGCTTATTCACTCTTTTGGCATTATATCATTATATACACCTTTTCATAATGCGGTATTATTCAAATTGAGTTTGACCCTTTAACCCAAAATTTGTACCGGTTCCTTGAGATTTATCGAAGCTAAATACGAAATAACATTACCACGCTCTTATGACGTGCTTATGAATATGTAGAACCCTTCCTTCTTCTGTTCCTAAACCCTAAATCCTGAACCCTAAACCGCCTGTCAAACTAGACTAGATCTTTAAATTGCTTTTCCAATATCTTTTGTGATGCCTTCGCCTGTGTCAATCACTGTCAGTCTTCCCTCGTGTTATTGGTTCTCCTCCAGATTTGCTAAAACAACGATAGATAAGGTCTGTATCAATTTCAATATTGATATCGCCGTTACTGTGTCTATCCACATTCATTGTTTTGTTTCCTCTACGAACTCTAAACGCACACGAAACACAAGCACATTTTGCACCTTTGTTATTGGCTTCAAATCACAACGTCATCATAAAACGGAATGATATAATAACAATTTGGACTCCTTTTTCAATGGTTATAACTGGTCAATCGGGAAGTGGCAAAACAGTGCTTCATTCAAATTTAATTTTGAATATATATATATAGAGGGTGTTTCTCTCGTATACATTTAGACCCAGTATGGGCACCTGTCAAGAAATTCATTGCCAATGATGTCGGGGTGAATCCAGAGAAAAAACGCATCTTTTGATACATTCAATAGTGATGAATTGCAAAAGGTTCTAAACTTGCAACATAAGGTTAATGAGCTTTAGAAAAAGACAGGAGCAACTACATTATTTCAGAGTGGTTTTTAGTAGATGGTTTTGTAGACCACCCATCGTTCGCAAAACATGATAATTTACTTACTGCCTAATATACCAAAGCGCGTCATTCCGGAGTAAATATAATCTCAAGCAGTCAGAAACACAACGGTTAGAACTAATTCAAGGCAACCATTATTTTTTCAAACTTAGGAACTATAAGGAAGTTGAAGCAGTTTTAGATGAATTGTCAAGTGCTTTAACCAGTAAATAATAAGCAATGTCTGGTATGAAAAGCTCATTGTTAGAAATATACAAATTAGCAACAGAGGAAGCTTACAGTTTCTTATATGTAAATTTGATGGAACCAGCCATAAACAAGCTGTTTATGGTGAGTTTTGAGAATTATTCCTACCGATGATGACTAGTAGCATGAATCCAAATAGTGTTAACTATCATCTAAATAAGGATACAGGGCAACAATGTGAAGCAGTAAAATTACAGCAAGGACACTCCCATTTCTTCGTTCATGCTTCTATTTATCTTCCTCTGCCTGTAGATTTTTGATCTTTCATTGCTGTTAATAATATCTCAATATCAGATATTTCCCTGCCTTTTTGCTTGATTTATTCCATACACAACTGTTTTTTCAAGCTTTTCAACGCGATTTAATACATCTTGCAAAGCACTCCATAAAATTTGGTGTAGGTACCGCATAATCAAATCTTAAATATCGATATAACGGCCTTCATCATTAAACTAACATATTTTTGTGGGGGGGCACATTATGGTATACCTGTGTTAACGAACCCTGGGGATTAGTAGTATATAGACTGTAATACTGAACCCTGAACCCCTCCTCGACCCAACGGGATTTCCATATCTACACACACACGTCACGTAGCATTTCTTCCAGCCCCCTCCCCCCCCCTCCTGGGGATCACCCTCAGCCCTTTCCTTTGAAATTCCGTCTATTCGAGTCGGACACCACCACCGGCCAAAATGGTTTTTTTCGGAAAGAAGATGGCTCATGGGGTGATGTGTACGGATGCCATCCCGTTGGAAAGCCCTACAGTCAGTTCTCAAACCCAAAATTAGAGTTTGGGGTGTTCTCTGCCGGCCAGCTCCGTCGCGGCTTTCGTCGGAGCCTGTCGATCGCTTCCCGGAACCTGGAATCAGAGGTTTGAGGCTGAGGGCTTAGAGCTTAGAGTCTAGAGTCTACAGTTCGGGGTCCGTGTGGAAACGTCGGGTCTTTACACACTTACAGAGGAAGCTAAAGTGGCGACACCTAAAGCAGGATCTCATAATTAGCACCCCGAACTAAGGCACCATCCGACACCTATATCGCATTCTACGCGCCTCTCGCCCGTGGCTCAGGGAACCTGAAATCTCTCCTCAAGCAACCTGGCGGGCTACTCATTCTAAAGTGGAGAGCACTTGATAGGGCTTAGTGGGGTTTTGGGAAACCCAAAAGGTCCAAAAACCCAAACTTCGATGCCTGAATCGGAAAATGAGCTGCAACCGCCTGCAAACCTGTGACCACTTTTCGATCGAATCCACGCAGCACAAAACCCAGTTCAAACCCCTCATAGAGTCACAGATAGTCATCAAACTATACACCCCTTCAGGCTGCCAAACATCGAAGCAAAGAAGACGAAAGCCCAGAGCCTGAACTTATAAAACCTAAACCCAAATCTCGGCGCAAAGCAACTCCATCTGCCGCTCTCCATTCGCTCGCGGGGCTCTCGACTGTCGAGGCTTCTTGCCCCGGGAGAGTGGGGCGATAGCTCCTCGGAATCCCGTCCCCCCGAGCCCCGACAAAATGCCGCAACACAGGAGCCTTAAGAGCTGGACAAGACTTTGGGGTGCTTTTGTGTGAACGTGGCTATACTTCTATAGCGGACTGTAAGGGCACACTGCACAACTGATTCGTGGACCCCTGCACCTCTTTCAAGCTTTGGGACAGCTAGGGCTTTCCGTTTGGGGCTTACACCTACAGGATCAGGGGATCCGACATGTAGGGTTTACTTAGCAAGGACGAGCCCGCATTGCAGAGTTTCGACTCACACACTCGCTCAAGCAGGCATGGCATACAGCGTCAGAGTTTAGGGTTTAGCCCTAAGCCCTAAACCCTATACCCTAAACTTTAGGAAATTTAGCCCTAAGCACTAAACTCTATACCCTAAGCTTTAGGACATCCGAGGGCCATAGTAATAGCAGGCTCGGCTGCAAGGTATCGGGCCTGGGGTCCCTATAGGGCCTTGTCAGGGTGCGGGTGCCGCTACGAGAGGGGCCTTAATGATTAAAAGCAGGGTTCTGGGCTCCTTTTATAGTGTAGTCATAAGAAGGAACCCACCAAAATCATGTTAGAAGCTATTTGGGCATATAGGCTTCTAGATTACAGTATATATTTTGCTTCACTGAACATCTTCCCATTGCTCCATGTAGGAATCCGGAGAACAACCCTGTGAAGCTCAATCAAGACATACAATGTCAACTTTAATTTACAAGGTCCGCTCAATGGCAGACTCCAGCTTCAGCACAACCATCCTTTGTAGGTGCAGCAAATCAAGCCAAAACTGACAATCCGCCCAGAATCGGGTATTTCGGAAGGATGAACTGCACCTCTCTTGCCAAGGCTTCCTTCAGAAAGGTGTCCTTCATGCGATCCTCGTCTCCGAAATCAGGCTGTTTCTATTTTCTGACTGCTGATGCTGGTGTCGGGGTACTGTTGCTCTGCCGGGAATGCCATGTCTCCGAACCATGAATACATGCAATTTCGTGTACAAGCCCTCACGAATCTAGAGCAGCATCCGACCTGCTCCCATGGAACCCTCAACCCAAAAACTGCCAGCCCCAACCCGTAAATCCCAAATCGGCCAAGCTACCCAACCGATGTTCGAGATGGTCAGCAGCTGCAGGATGTAGGCAAGCCACGGGGTAGCCTTTACAAAGGGTGCATCCAAGTAAAATAGAAAGTGCAGCACGTTTGTTGAGGCCCACGTATCCACCCCCAAGAACCTACTATCCCGGTACTTGGGCTTTTTGGGAAATCTGAAGTCTGCATGAAAGCTTCGACGAAGGCCTTATGCTCGCAACCTGAACTGTGCCATACGACAGGGCTATAGGTTTTGACACCAAGCCCTAGAAACCTCAAACGAGGCCGCAAAGGGCTTAAGACCAGAAGGCCGCATTCACCCCTGCAGAAGTCAGAGAAACTTGACGAGCCGTTTCTGCAAGTGCTTCGCCGGCGTCGCGGGTTTTAAGCACGAGCTGCCGAGTTGGGCTGGGGAGCCTGACCTGGAACTCGAAGAGTCTAGCCCCGGAGGATGCACAACTTATTCGATGCCCATGCTGGCGAACATTGGAAGCAAGAGCCGTCGAATGGCGACTCTGAGACGTTTACTGCGCATCGTCACGCGCTTGCTTTCGCGTGCAACGTCCCCATTGCCAGCTATTCGGCATGGGTTCGGCTGTTCGGAGTTGACCTGAAGAAAGCCAGGTATCTTAAGACTGGCAAAGATGAGCCTTCTGAAACTTCTCTGGCGATTTCCCTTTCTCAACAGTCTGTTGCTTCTTCTACCACCTAAGGCTTCGGGTCCCGGATCATATTTCCTGGCCTGCTTCGTGCAGCCTCTGTCCGAGCCGATGAACTCCTTCATGGCAGAACGGGTCGCTTGTTGAGCGTTCATCCGATGAGGAGTACCGACACTGCCACATACCTTCCCGCCTTCCTAGCTGCTATTGTCACACACATAGCCATCCATACATATGTACACGCCTGAGCGAAAAGTAACGACTGCATACGGTTGTAGTGTATGTCGAGCATGTATGCTGCACTCAAAGGCTGCGCCGGTCCTCCAACGCCAAGTCTGCAGCTTCCCGCACCACGGGCCATCGGTCGCAGCAGTGCAAGAACAGGCGGTGCATCACCTGTCTCGAGTCCAAAACCAAGAGCCCGGGTTTAAACCTGCAACTCGCGATATTGAGTGAGTGAAGGAATAGTCTTACCACCAATACGGGAGTGCAATCTCTCGGTATGGTGGATGGTGGATCCAAAGCGCGTTTCACGGCCTGCACGACCAACCCTCGTATACCTATCATCACCCTCCCTAAGACCGACGTGCTGAAGCCCAGCCCAGTGGCGAAATAGCCTTTCAAGAGCTTCAGGGAAGCATGGCGATCGCCGTAGAGGACCTGCCAAGTGCCGCTTTCCAAAGACCGCTTTCTTGGGAGTTCCATCTAGACCCTAAAACCGAAAGGACCCAAACTTCCTGAACCCTAAACCCTATAAGACCCAAACTTCCTAAACCCTAAACCCTATAAGACCCAAACTTCCGAAATCCAAAACCCTATCCCGAATCAGGAGCCGACTGTGTAGGGCCTCTTGGGATCCTGTCACTTCGTAAGCTCGGTTTACTTCAGGATTCGTTCAAAAAGCAGCGCATCCTAGACATAGTCGATAGCTGATTACTTTTAGGGTGGATTTGTTCCCTCCCAGTTTTAGGGTATATAGGGTTTAGTGTTTCGATACTCACACTCGCGCACGGCAGGCAAGGTTTAGGGTTTAGTTTAGGGTTTAGGTATAAGAGCTTTTGCTTGTAGTGTTTGGGGCTTACGGCGTACGGTGTTTAGGCAAGGTCAAGGTCTGCAAATCCACCTCCCCATCCTCAACCCATGGTCCCGAGGCCCGTGACCCCAAACACGAAAACAATCTCATGTGCGGATGATTCTTCGAGCCGAACCCTGCCTACAGCCCTACCCTAACCCGGAAGCCTGGGTTTGTGGCAAGCCTCGAAGGCGAACGGAGCTCCGGCAGTTGTTTCGAGCTGGTAAATTGACATAGAAGGCAACTTGCAGACCAACACATGCAGCCAAAATCAGTCTGCGCCCAGAACGGAGACATGAGGCCAGCCGGCTTCGGCCCCTGTTCTGACTCACCTATGCTTCTTATGACTCTGTTCATGTGCGCCTGCTTCAGAAGCTGATGCATGATCTCCGGCAGGGCCACGATGGCATCCACGGCCATCTGCGGAGCCTCCTTTGCCCGAAGGAGTCTGAAGACCGGTGCCGGGAGATGCGAATCTTCTCCTGAGGTCGATGTCCGGCTGAGTTCTGCATAAAAACCATACACTTTCATCTGTCTTTTATGAACTACGGAACTGCTACGGTATTGGCCTAACTCTAGATTCGGGGCTTGAAGTTTTTGTCGGTGCTCTAGCAGATTCACCTTCCAATGGTGATGGCTGCTGACAGCTGCGTCCAAACTGGCTTGTTACTTCTTGTGGTTGGGGTGTTAAACGATGGATGGAACACAGAAAGCAAAAAGCATCTGGCATGCGAACTTCCCTTGTCGAGCGAGGCTTTTTGTTCCTGGCGCCGCGGCATTAGAGTCTGAAACCGGAACTCAGCTGAGACTGGTACGTCACAAATCGACACCTTTGGAGCATCCAGCCCCAACTTAGCTGTCAGAAAATTCCGAACCCGTGTTGACTGATCACCCTCTCATTCAGCATTTCTAAAGAGACAACACGGTGATAGATCAATCCAAGCCCGGAAGCATCAACAACAACATGAAGCTCCGAGGGCTTTCCCCATCCTCAGCCACCAGAAAGCCCCAGTACAGAGTTCACGGGTTTCGGGCTTAGGGGTTTAGGGGTTTGGGGATTTTAGGGTTTAGGGACCGGAATGCTTGGCATTGATGTCCCCAACACAAATCCGGTCGGATTTTAACAAACCGGACTCCAAAATGCAACCCTGACGCCCACTTCAAGCCCAGCTACCCTGTGGGCAAGCATCAGCAAGCTGGTGGAGGCAGTCTGCCAAGAGGGGAGCCTTGTCAGGTTTTGGGAACTGCATCCGCCTCTGAGGGATTAGAGATCTTCGGAGGAGGCTATACCCAGAGAACTAAAGAAGCCAATACCTCGTAATTAAGGAATATACTTTAAATCATACCATTAAGGCCCGGATCGTTTAAGGTATATTCCTTGATTAAGGGGCATTGGGTTCTCTGGGTATAAACACCCTGAGCTTCAGGGCCCCTACACCTCCTGTTGCTTTCTTCTCAGGGCACAATGATACTCAATCCTGCGAAGCAAGCAGCAGCCGACAGCGCATGCTGCGCGTGCACGAACCTCGGAGGGTAGCCGTCCGTCCTATGAGGGTCCTGATCTTATCGGCTCCACCCCAGGAGCTGAGCAACAGCCCTGAAACGCTCCTAAGGCTACCGCCACAAGGACCCCAAACGCTGCTGCATGCAGCTTACTGGGCCAACATGTTGCAGAGAGACAAACCTACCGACTACGACTCTGCCTGCACCTACTAACTGCCTCCTGGCCTGCCTAACCTACCTCCCACCCTCCCGAACTACCTACACCTATATAATTAACTATAACCCGTCTGCAGCCATTTACCCTTAACCTGAATCCCCTGGTAGCCCGGGGGCAACGGCAGCCAGTGCGTGAGGGGCTCCTTCCACGCTGCTCGACGCAAGCCTCTGAAGGCTTCTCAAGGCTTATTACACATACAGCTTCCGGGCGTGCAGGGCTTAAAGCAGGGCTTATTGGGGCGGGTACGGCCTTGGCAGAACTGGAGCAGCCCCGTCGTTGTCAAGGACCACACATTCTATTCTCCAACTTCCGTTGTTTCAATACTCAACCGTCGGTCACACCCATAGCATTGAGGGCCCACGCCTCCTTCCCATGCGGTTTGCGACACCGCGTCGAAGAAAGCTGTCAGCTTGGCGAGTCGCCCGCGACCCTGTGCGCATACGCCGATACCTATCACGTCCTCGTCGGGGCCTATCCTCAGTGGCACGATGGTACGTACAATAGACTAGCCGGCACTGAAGCCACTGAATGGGCTCGTCTTAGCGAACCCACCGAGCTCGAATAGCCCTCACCCCCTGTAACTCGAAGAGCCATGATCAAAAAGCCATCATGTACAAACCGACAAAAGGACTGAAAAAAACGATCACAACTTCACCTTTTTCCATCCAATCTACCACGCCAGCCTAAACTGTCCAGGACTCTCAACTAACCCTCCATAGTCCCTAAGCCGTCGAGTCATCTTGTTTTCAATCCGTACTGACAAATTGTCGACGAAATTCCTCGGTAAAGGCCGTGGGCATCTAAAGGCTTACATGGATGGATCCCTCACCCGAAACCTATGAAAACGCAGTAAACTTTTTATGCCCACCAAGCATCTTCTCATGAAAGCATTGCACCTCCTGTGCCTCCCAGAAGAGCGGTGCCTGCCAAGAGCCGCTTTGATCGCTTTTTGTCGGATTGAGGGGCTTTTGGGGGTTTGCGGCTTAAGGTCTGGGGTTTCGACTCTCACAAGGGTTTGGGCTTTGGGGTTTAAGGTTTAGGGTAAGGGATTGCTTTTTTTTTTCAGTGTTTGGGATTGGTTAAAGGACTGTCTGCGTTTGTGTTCTTGAGGCTCCGCAGATGTGGCAACTCTCTACTGCTCCGACTCCTGGTCTTTCTCTTGCTGCTTGCACCGGAGGGAATGGGGCTGTTTTGGTCGCTTTCAGCACTCACCCTCGGACAAGCATGGGCGAGGTTTTGGTTGCTGTAGCGTTCAGGGTTTAGGGGAGCATTGCAGTGTGGGCCTGAGCTGCTTCCTGCCAGGCGGGCACTGCATAGGCAAGCGAAAGTCGATCGTGGCGGCGTAGGCAGGCCATGATTTCAAGCACCACGACGAGAAGTCGCACTTGGATGTAGGTTTAAGGCGTTAAGACCAGAGCTAAGGTTTAGGGTTTAGGGTTTATAAGGCAGCTGATGCCTTGGATTTTTGCATTAACTTTGCAAAGCGTAGAGTCGGGCGCTCGGGCCGTAGCGGACCCGAAGCTGACCTCGAGAGTGGTGTGGTAGTAGTACTATAGTGGAAGTATACGCTGCATGTGTATACTTTAGCTTTCCATCTATCTATCTATCATAGATAGGTAGATAGATAGATAAATAGATAGATAGATAGGAAGAAAGATAGAGAGACAGACAGATAGAAAAATAGACTGACAAATAGACTGCTAGATAGATCGACAAATAGATACATAGACAGATAGACAGATTACATTAGTACTATATCAGCATTTTTCGTAGTGTTATGGTAGCCGTCGCGTGCATAGGATTATCGGGGTGCCATCGTAACTTTTACTGCACATATTATAAGCCTCACTTTGCAGATTTAACCCAGACCTGCGGGACATGGGATAGGTGCACGGAAGCAACGACATGGAGCAGTGTGTGTGTGTATATATATATTATACATATATATATATATATATAGTAAGATAGTATACCATAACAAAATATATGATCTTGATAAAGCCGTGCCTTTTATTCTGCAATGTACTGCATGGAATTTGCTGACGAGACCTCTGTGCTTGGTCTTCATGAAATTCTGAGCCCAGCGGTTCCAGAACCCAGCGAATGCCAACTAAATGCAATGCTCACCACAACTACCAGAGGGTTTAGGGTTTAGTCTGGAGACAAACGAAGTCAACATCAAGAACACAGTCCTCGCCCCCGAACCTGAACCGCAAAGGAGAAACCACACCGACAAAATGCTCCCAGATCGTAAGCCCAGCCTGCATTCCTCTGAAGCCTCAATCCTGTAAGATTTATTATAGCTAGCAAAGCCTCGAGCCCGAAACTTTGAAGCGGGTAGCCGCAGGCCAACTCGACATGTAGGCCATTCTCAGGATCGCATCTTTACGACTTTGCAGCGCCGAACCCGTCTCTGCCTTTGCTATCATGGGGGCTTGTAACATGTACGGAAGGCTGTGAACTAGCTTGAAGCAAGGTTTTCGTTTGGAGGTTTGCTATCTTAGGATGTTCGTCGAGTCGTCATCGTGGGGGTGTGAACATCAAAACCACGAAGCTTTGTTGGCGGAGGGGCCCTTCAACCCTTCAGCCTAAACCCGAAACCTAACACTCCAAAAATCCCAAAGCCCTGAATCCGAAGTTCCAGCCGGGGTGCAAAGGACGTGCCAGGTTGTCGCGTCGGCGGCGCATCGTCACAGTCGATGGCCTCCGGAAAAGCCGGGTGGTGAGGACCAGACGGTCGATGTCCGCATCGGCATTTGAAGCCCTCATGGTGATCAACCATGATTTCAATGGCCTCAGCAAGCATCAAGAGCTTCGGCTTTTAGGATGGTAGTGAGGGTAGGCTGTGGGGTTTGTGGGGGCTTCAGGAGAGCATGGATCTTGGGTGTCGCATTGCTTAGTCAAGGGGCCGTTTAACAGATGTACGATTCGCTACGGTTCGGTTCTTTAAGACCTACCACTTAAAGCATTCGCAAGCACGCAACATCCATGTCTTCTCGGGGGCGAAATGGCAACATCAACAGTAGCTGTAGATGCGAAAGAGCAGAGAAAAGATGAGACATTCGCCTGCCCGCGTGGGTGATCACAAAGCTCGCAACGCCGGTTCTTCTTCTGGTTGTGGAGAGTGCACCTGGGTTGCTGGAAGAGAACCGCTCTTCTTAAGGCCCCTGCGACAAAACAAAGTGCTGTGCCCTAAACCCTGGGCTCTAAGCCCTGAATGCACGAGGCCTCAAGAGGAGCATTGATTGTTTTCGCAACCATCCGCCTGGGACACTTCCACCATTCCGAACCATCGCCTTCGAAGAAGAAGGTCTGCAACCTGGGTTCTTGTTTAAGTTACCACGGTCGGGGTCATTGGTAAAGAAATGAAAAATAAAACTTTCCTTCCTATGGTACCTTAAATTCAATTCTACATTCCTTAACACCAACCCAGCAACTGACGAAGAATGGCCAGCACACTGTAGGCACTGCTCCAGCCCATGTACGGCTTGCGCTTCCTCAACTGGCAAATTCACAACGCGGGCTGGTCACTCTACAAGCCGTGTTTTTGAAAGCATACTGAGGTCGATGCGTGTGACGGGAGAGAGGGGGCACCCCTTTTTGCATGTTTGGACTTGTCGCCAGAGACTGTCAACCCAGGGAGCATGTGTAATCAGATCTCCGACACTACAGTTACATTTCTCACTTCTGAGAGAGGGGGGGGACCCTAAAACCTGAACAGGTAAAACACAGCTGGGTTGTCTGATTGCTTTGATCCCCCAACGTTTGAAACCTCGTCCGAGCAGCTCCTCATCTGCGGCCCACTCACCGCCTTCCAGCATATCCTTGGCTTCCATGAGGGACAGAAGGCAGGATCCTGTATATGACTCCCGTCATGGATATCAGGAACTCCAAGCCACAATAAGCTTAGAAACATTTAGAAACCCGAACTCCTAAACCCTAAAAGGCACCGACTTTGACCAAGCATCCAGGCAGATGAAAGTGGAGAACACGTTAGGATGCTGCACTGTGCTTCCCAGCACGTGTACACGGGGAGGTCGCATCGGATAATCCTCCAAAAACTAGGGCAGCTTTGCAGCGCAGTGGTCTTACATGTTTCTTTGATCTTACTGAGGACTTCCCGGGATCCCAAACCAAAACTCTGCGAAGCTCCAAAGCTCAAAACCCTACACCCTTCTGCCGCTCGAGAGCCTGGGTGAAGGTGAGCTCCAGGTGAAGAATCCTTGCAAACGGTTTAGGGTTTAGGGTTTAGGGGTTTTTTTCCCTCCCCTTAGGGTTTAGGGGTTTAGGGTTTAGGGTTTTCACTGAATCTCCAGTGACCTAAATGCAAGCGAGTCATCGAGTATGTAATCCATTAGCCCCGCTATTAGGGTAACTGGAGCTATATAAGGCCTAGTAGAGAAGTCGCAGTCCTAGTTCAAGACGGGAACCTGTCGTGAACCATAACGTAAGCATGACTATCTAATTACGACTGAATTCTTCATTCAAATCTCTGGAAGGACAGACCCCGGATATTCGGAACTTCACTGGGTGACTGCAGAACACGTACTCGGGCGTCCACTCTGAGTGTAACTCGTACCCCGGGGGATCTTGTAGACGACCCTTAGGCTTTGGGCCACGACATGCCTGTCTGTAGGCTTTAGGGTTTAGGGTAAGATGCTATTTCTGGGACCCCTGATTGCTGTAAGTTCTCCCTACAAGCTTTACTTGGACCCTACAGAACCTATACTTTTTGTGAGGGACCTCTATAAAGAAAGCATAGCGAGGAGCCCGAAAAGGTAGGTCTCTTAGGGTCCAGGTAGCCCTAAACACTAAACCCTAAACCCCTAAACCCCTAAACCCTGAACCCTGTTAAACCTTAAACCCTAAACATTAAACCCTAAACCCCGAAACCCTAAACCCTAGGCACTTGCGGCCGAAGAAGCACTGGCGAGCCGCCCCCCGGCGGCTGCCCGGCCACATTGCAGTGCCACGTGAAGAGGTCATCCTTCTGATTGTGGGTCTACGTAAAGGATCAGCGGACTTTGCAACGGCTATGCTTCAAGGTTCCGGGGACTTATAGCATGTAGGATTAAGTGCCTTACTTGGGGTTGTAGGCAATATGCCTACCTGACTTCTAGCAGTTACTAAAGCTCCTGATCCTCTAAGAAAAGAAAGCGTATGTGGGTATCAGGCTCCGCCTCGTTGATATCGGGGCTCAAAGTTTACAGGCTTTTGGATTTTGTTGGCTTTTGGATTTTGTTGACACTCACACTCGGACAAGTCTGGCAAGGTCTGCAGCGATACTTTTGGATTGGGGTTTAATTAATGTCTCGGCCGCTACACACTTGTGGTGGAGGAAGAAACCCAAGACAGGAAAAGTTCTCGCATTTGCAAAGAAAGGAACCCGAGACCTTCCTCCGCAAAACAGGTCTTTTAACCCTAATGCTTGAGCAGGCTTGAAATTGCCTTTAAATTGACGATTTTTTTGAATGGTAGTTCATGTTTTTACCAGTGTTACTGTTGCTATGGCTATCGCCACTGCGGCTGCTATTGCTTATTTCTCTGTTAATAATATAGTCCTGACAAGCTCGGTCATGCAGCATATTTTCTGCGACCAAACTCACGGTCGCCCTAACACCTGGCCAACACTGTTGCTGAACCATGGCAGCAACTCCGGATCAAACCGTAAACCTCACATCCTAAACCCCTCGCTACCTTACATCCTACAGTACATCCTAAAGCCGAGCCCTTCAGGCTCAAGCAGTACTCTCACACAGAACCCTTCAAAGAAATCCCTCCCGACGAGCCGGAACCCCCACGCCCCTAATTTGGACAACCCCAAAGGAACACCTCCAACTAAACCTTAAACTCTTTAATTTCTCCATAACTTGTTCAGTATCATGGAGAACTATAAAGGTTCACCTGTGGGGTTCTATAGGGAGTATACGACCCCGTAAAGGTTAAAGGTTACCAA